AATGTAAGGTCTCTATGCTTTCCTTAACAGCCCAATGGATCCTACAAAATGTGATGTGTGCTGTGTACTGGGGACTACCTACGCAAAAATGTACTTCTATAGTGTTTGCACTTTTGCACTGACCAATGGTTTCTAACAAATGAATTGGGATGACTGACAATATTCTGAAGCTTGGTTATAGACGAAAGAAGCCAGCTGCTAAATCTTGAGTCTTGATTTCATGAGATACACACATCAAGGGTAATTTAACAGGGACTCAGCTAGATTGGTAAAGAAAAAACGATTTATATGTGTTGTATGTGTGATATAAGGGACGTGTGTGGCGCTGTGGGTTAAACCACAGAGCCTAGGACTTGCTGATCAGAAGGTTGGCGGTTCAAATCCCCACGACGGGGTGAGCTCCCGTTGCTCGGTCCCTGCTCCTGCCAACCTAGCAGTTCGAAAGCACGTCAAAGTGCAAGTAGATAAATAGGTACCGCTCTGGCAGGAAGGTAAACGGCGTTTCCGTGCACTGCTCTGGTTCTCCAGAAGCGGCTTAGTCATGCTGGCCACATGACCTGGAAGCTGTACGCCGGCTCCCTCAGCCAATAAAGCGAGATGAGCGCTGCAACCCCCGAGTCGGTCACGACTGGACCTAATGGTCAGGGATCCCTTTACCTTTATGTGCAATATAACATTGTGCCACCAGATGGGGCTGTGGAGTCCTGTTTTTCTCTACCTGTCTGCCCTGTTTAAGTTTACATGTTTTAACTGAAATGCTTCTTTGATGTGTCTAGATCCAGCCCAGGTTTCTCTGCAGCTTAACACAGGTCTGCAGCAGGGTTTCTCTGGTGCTGCCATATCTGGAAGAGCAAAAAAGAGGGCAGCCCAAGCCACTGCCAGCCGGAGCTGGGGAAAGAGGCATGTAGGCATGGACATGGGGGGACCACTGCTACTGCATCTCTTTTCCACAGCTCAGGCTGGCAGCAGACACAGCGTGCAGAGCAGCCTGAACCACTCAAGTCCTTTAAAATGTAAAAATCCGCCTGGATGGGCATGTTGGCCCCCCAAAAGAGGACATGTCCGGGTTTTCCCGGATGTATGGCAACATTAGTTTCTCATAGGCCAAGCAAAGAGGGCAGGGGGTAAAGGTAAAGGGACCCCTGACCATTAGGTCCAATCGTGGCCGACTCGGGGGTTGCGGCGCTCATCTCGCTTTATTGGCCAAGGGAGCCGGCGTACAGCTTCCGGGTCATGTGGCCAGCATGACTAAGCCGCTTCTGGAGAACCAGAGCAGCGCACGGAAACAGCGTTTACCTTCCCGCCGGAGCGGTACCTATTTATCTACTTGCACTTCGATGTGCTTTTGAACTGCTAGGTTGGCAGGAGCAGGGACCGAGCAATGGGAACTCACCCCGTCGCAGGGATTCGAACCGCTGACCTTCTGATCAGCAAGTCCTAGGCTCTGTGGTTTAACCCACAGCGCCACCCGCGTCCCAACAGGGACAGGGGGAGGAGCATGCAAAGTGGGGCAGTTGACTCACTGGCAGAACTTAACGTGCAAAATACTGAGTGATTGTGGAGACAATGAAAAATGAACCGGAGCTGCAGGTATCAGCTGGAGCGGCCAAATTTTAACCTGGCCTCCATGGCTATCTTTTAACACACAGTGGCTAGATCTGCGGCAATTTTAGCAGCTGATGGTGCTTATGTTCAGGCCGGGGGATGGACCCACCTGCCAATTTCTGCACACACAACAGCTCTGCGTGTAAGATGGGCTGCTTTATCTAGCCAGTTGGCAACCTGAGTGCCTGTAGTTTAGGAAGCAGCGTTCCAGCAAATTGCAGTGGCGGCAAAACCGGCTCAAAAGATCAAATCCAGGCCCCAACTCAAAGACAAAGGCAGGCAGACAACTCGGTCCACTTCCCATATGTGAGCTTTTCTGAAACAGCACCTGTCCGTCTGTCAAATTTATTTGCTAAAAGCCACAGGTCACCACATCAATATAAGGCATCCGTGGGCAGCGAAAGGGGGAAGTGGCAATACATGTATCTGAAGGCGCATCATTTCTGTTTCGTGATGCATTTGTTGGGAAATATCAGGGGTTGCTTCAGGTCTCAGATGACCCTTGAGGTCCCTTCCAACTCTACAATTCTCTGATTCCAGCCAGAATGGTGTAGTGGTTAAGAGAGTGTTGGACTTTGACCTGGAAGAGACCAGGGTGCAGATACCCACTTGGTGGGTGATCCTTGGGGGCACCCTAACCCACCTCACAGGGTTGTTGTGATGGTCACCTGGGGAGAAGGGGAACACCATCTTGAGCTCCTTGGAAGAAAAGGTGGTATATAAATGTAATGAGTAAATCAATAAATAACAAACTGCAACAATGCTAACCCTTGTAAAGGTAAAGGTAAAGGGACCCCTGACCATTAGGTCCAGTCGTGGCCGACTCTGGGGTTGCGGCGCTCATCTCGCTTTATTGGCTGAGGTAGCCGGCGTATAGCTTCCGGGTCATGTGGCCAGCATGACTAAGCCGCTTCTGGCGAACCAGAGCAGCGCACGCAAACACCGTTTACCTTCCCGCTGGAGTAGTACCTATTTATCTACTTGCACTTTGACATACTTTCGAACTGCTAGGTTGGCAGGAGCTGGGACCGAGCAATGGAAGCTCACCCCGTCGCGGGGATTCGAACTGCCGACCTTCTGATCGGCAAGCCCTAGGCTCTGTGGTTTAACCCACAGCGCCACCCGCGTCCCTTGAAAACACCCCAAATGTACGCGGTCCTAGTGCTCAGTCCCACAAAGGGCTGTCTGGTGAGAACAAAAGTATCATCTCTGACAAACACTCCTCTCTCCCGAAGAACATTTAAGATTCTCCTAGTGTTTTCAAAGGAAACCAGAACCAAAATAAGTTTAAACTCTTAAATCACGCCACTGGGCTTCTCCGAAGTATAACATAAACATGAATTTGCTTCTGAACATCCCCATAGGGATTTAACCCCCCTCCCCTTTAGAACATTTATTTGACACAACCCTTCAGCCTTTTGTGAATTTGTGGGGGAAAATGTCAACCTTAAAGCACTCTTTTTAAAAAGTTAACTGGTTCTCCATAGCCCCCCCCATGTGCTCTTTTAACTGTACTAATTTCAAATCAATCAACTGGTGGTTATGTAAGTTGTTTATAATTTCTGTCACGTCAGCCCTGAAATAAATCTGTAGCTTGCCAACGTTACGTAAAGGGGAGGAAAGTCCCCTGAATTGGGGAAGGAGATGGGGGTCTATGCTTGGAAGATGCTCTTTTAAAAATACTTCGTTGCCCATTATGCAATGGCGACTCCCCCACCCCTAGACTTTCTTACATAACACGAGCTTGTTTACACTGTTGTAAGCATAGCTTTAAATGGATCCTTCAAAAAATGGAAGGTTAGGAGAAGCAGAACTCGAAAATCCAGTTCGGACTTTAGGGTTTGTTTTCTTGCTGTGGATTTTGGCTTTCCAATGCGAGGGGGAAAATGTCCCACATGGTTGTAGGACACAACACTATTTCTCAGATGCAGAAGCAGTAACATGCAAGGCTGTTTGATGCAAAGTTAAACCAGCTCTTGGGTAGAAAGGTCTGCTTTTATTTTAAAGCTGTTTGACTCCCAACTGAACCTGAACCGAAAAACCAAATTTCTTTCCCAAAGTAGGGGAGAACCAGAGCTGTCATTTGAAAGCCTATTGGCTGAAGGGTGTGCTCATCCTGGTGAAAAAGGTGATGCATGTATCTTCCACAGCATCTTATCCCCTAGGAGGATTCCATTACCTACAGATGTTTCCCTAGCCAAGGAAAGGCAAATGTAGCTCTCCAGGTTCCCCTATCTGGCCCTCAGCATCCTCCCTCTGCCACACCCCCATTGGTCCGCCATTGCATTTTCCTTGAGTGTTTTTGCCTTGCTGAGATGTGCCCTTGAACTCCAATGCCTCTTGCAGGTCTGGATGGAGTTAAGTGGTGTGTACAAACTAGTCCACTGTACAAAGTTAATCTCTTTGCCCCTCCCACTTTTCCTCTGGCCCCACCGACCACTGGCATGTGACCCTCTCCCCACAGAAAGGAAAGTAACCCTTGAGCTGAAAAAGTTCCCTCAGCTTTTCCCTGGTACCACACTTCTGGTAAAATCTCCAGCAGCTCCCTTTGATGGGAGCCAGCTGGGGTAAGAACTGAGAAAGGGACAGGAACTAGTCCCTCTCTCTCCTGGTTAGCAAACCATCACTTGAGAAAATGTTAAGTCAAGTTGCACTAAGTGTAAAGTACCTAAGTGCCTGACAAACTCATCTGTAGCACTTTCTTGCATATGTATTGGAACTAATGGTTTTCACACTTAACTGCATTGGATTGTAGAGAAGAGGGTCCCCCAACAATTAAAGGTTGTTTACCCGCCTTCTTTAGCAAACCAGAGGCCAGTCACTAGGCGTAGTCTCTTAAATGCCAATGACACCTGACTGTGTGGAGCCTTTCACCCCTAGAGAGAACGCAAGATTTTAGCCCAAAGGACAGAAACCTTGCAGAGGGCTATATGCTTGATCCCACAAGTTGATTTAAGAACTTAAGAGCCCTGCTGGATCAGGCCAGGGGCCCATGTAGTCCAGGAACCGAGCACAACATATTGTGTTCTATTGGCTGCAAACCCGTTTGCAAGGGTATCAGGTCATAGATAGCGTAGGATGCATGAAACCCAGTACAGCAGAATGACTCACTTTGGTTCTTAAAATAGGCCTTAGCTATATGATTTCACCTCCTGTTCACCCTGAAAGCTTGCACAGCTAGGATGGTAGTTTACATTCCAGACAGTCTCTCTATTACAGCACTTAGTCTACGGGACTGCAAGTTGGCCTTCGTCCATGTGCGCAGAAAGTTCCTCATGAGCATGGGAAGCATTTCCCTTATAAACGATAAGGCCAATGTGCTCTTTGGATCCTGCCTTGTGTCTGAAAATCACATGCACACAGACATGGAGAAATAACAACACAAAAGTAGGTGCTTACTCCATAAAACATTAATATTTTAATGAAAAATCTTATCATGTTTCTATCCAAAGACACTCAAAACTAGTTTTTCTTCCCTCTCAATTTTGACTTATTAATGGGACCAGTCTGGAGATTTTTTTTGTTTTTGAACTTTTTTTTAAAGATTAAACAACCAGGCTAGCAAAAAAGGTACCCAATACATATTCTTCTTATATCAAACAAGCTAATATTTCAGTACAAGGTAACTATACAGAATATATACATCACACAGAGAATCACAAAAGCGAACACTACAGGCTCAGAACAGATTTTGAAAAAACCATGATATTCACATTGATTACAAGAACTCTAAAAATGATTGTAACAGTGAAACGGCACTTTAGTTTACAAAAAGTCACAAAAATATATATATAGCCACCAAGAACTATGGGTTCCTGAAAAATACTAATAGCCAGATATAGTATATAAAATGCAAAGTGTATTTCAACATTAAAAATAAAACCAAACCCAAAAAACATTTTTTTTTCTCTCCATTAAGTTCAATAAACATGCCAAGTAGCCTAGCTGTGGTCGGCACGGACGAGAAAAGCTGTATGAGATGGGCAGCTGGTGACTGAAGACTGGCACAGTTAGAAAGGGGAGGGAGTCACACACACAGTGGCTGGGGAGCCCCTTGAGAGTTCAGTTCACATTCCCAGATCCATCTTTACTCCCTTCCCCTTTAAGGATTCTACAAAGGCCCAGAGACAAGACAGCACTGCAAAAGTGGGGCCTGGAAGCACTCTCCAGCTTCCGTTGGGGGGGTGGGGTGGAAGTCAGAATAAAGCTGTCAGCATGCGGGCAGCCGAAACCAAACCAAACCAAACTGCACCACCCTTCTGAGGTCTCTCTAACCCCATCCAGAAAGGAGGTCACAACAGTGCTGCTGGAGAGCATCATCGAGGTGGCCAGGCCCCTGGGAGAGATTCACGAGACCTGCTGAAGTACTCTTGATACCACACAGAGAAATTAAAATAAAAACAACAACACACCACAGAGCTTTAAAACCAGTTATCTTGCATTTAAAAATATTTGCATCATTTCTTTTTAAAATTACCAGCTTTTATTCTATGATGAGCTCTAGTATTTATTTATTTCTAATATTACTCCGCTTCCCAGCCAAATGTGACCCCCGAAAGCCTTGAATGGCAGAGTTTACCCCTGAATCCAAGCAGGAAACACTTGTTCCTAAAGAAACATAGGGCAAGGACTGTTAACTTTTTTGTTTGTTCTGTTTGTTTCTGGGATAAGAAAAGCAAGCCTTTAGTTTCTGCAGAAAGGCAACTAAGGAGCAAAAATTGCCTCTGTTATAGTGATCCTCATCCAAACCATTCCTGGTGCACTGCGTTCTGCAGACTTTTAAGAAAAAGGCAGAGGAACAGGATCTAACCCTCTGCCATCTTCTACCTTAAGGCTGGTGAAGAAAAATTAGTAACAATCCCTCCCCCCAAAAAATCTGACCAAAGCCACTATTTTAAAATTTGCAAATGCATTGTTAAAAAAATACAGTTTTAATCTCTTTTGGGAACTGGGGCTTAGGGACTTTCATTTTATAAAATATATAATATATATATTCATATATTTTGCTACACTGGCACTGGTTGCTTAAAAACAACACTTTTTCACATTTACACTTTTCAGACTAAGGATAAGTGCCAAAACTAGAACTAAGGACACAGATACCATGTTCTGTGTTAGAATGGGGAGCAAAAAAATTGGTCAGTCTGAGAAGAGGCTGAACCGTCTTCCAAAAGATGCATAAAAGGCAAAATGAGCCCTAAGCTGGTGACAAGAGGTTTGCTATATGAAATTGACATTTCATGTTGCGCTTTGGGGGAACATGGTCTCATTTCCTACGTACACATACCCTCTCCATAGGTGTTTGTGGGTATCACCTGTTGGCACATTGAAACCAGCCTCACAACTTCTGAGAGATGAGGAAAATGTCAGGTGTAGATCCTAACTCCCACCTGCGCCCTTTCCAAATTCTGTGTGATAACAGACGCTTTTCCTCTGGATATAAATCTCTCTCACACACAAATCATGGAAAGGCTGTACAGTATATCCAGATTCTCTGGGTGCTACATCACATGTGTAGGTCTCACTGAGCGACCGCTGGAATAACTTGGGATGGTTAACTGTAAATCCCAACACTACAAAAGCATCACCAAAGAAACTCAATTTTATTATCTTGGGTTGGAAACATCATTGAGCTCCCCCAGTGCAATTCTTATGATGATGCCTTGGAAAAGATGCAAGCTCAGTGGGATTTAAAACAGGGATGGGCAAAGGTTATTAAGCCTTAAGAAGGGTTGTACATCCAGCTGGTGGCTTTTAGATTAGTTCACTGAAGCTCTTTGAAATAGAAGACTGTGGGAGCAAGCTGGGGGAGATGGGGTCATTCTCTTTGAGAGCCCAGGTTGGGATGGAGAGATGAAGACCAATCACTCAGGCTTGGGTAAAGAGATTGGTGCTGCAGGAGGAAGGAGGAAATTATTTCTCCACGGCACTGGCCAAACTTTCAAGAAGCCTATAAATACCCCATGGGGCTGATGGTTTGCAACCCCCGATTTAAAATATGCTATGCATATAGCTTATTTAAACTAGGCACACTTTAATTGGAAGTAAAGTTTAATTTAAATAAGTGGGGTTATGTTTTCAAGTTAAACATGGGTAAGACCCCAAATTTACCTACGAGATTTCATTTTAAATGCTTCTAACAGACATCCGACTCAGCAAGTTAACATTTCCAAATGTCAAGGTACAAAAACAAGGACTCTTTTTCACAGATAGGTAGCTCAATGGAGAGGGGGGTATTCCTTCACCAGGAAACATTTATGTATTACAAAAATGTTTCTTTCTGTGGAAGAGAGAATTTTCAACTGATCCTTTACTGGGCTGGGATTTAAAAATACTGAATAAATACAACAAGGGATGGGTTTTTTGTACTGTGACACAACACAGTAGCCCGTAATTCACATAAACAGTAACTATGCTCAATTTTACTTATGAAAGAATAAACTTGAGGTTCGACACACTTTTTATGAATTTCTTCATTTAGTGTTTTCCTTTGTATTACTTCTGATATGAAGTTTCACATCTCCTAAATGTAGATCACCTGCTCTACATTTGCACATATCAAATGTGCAATTTGCACTTGCAAATTATGACTCATAACTGACCTTATAGAGATAAGATGTACTGTGTAGGCAGACCCCCTCCATCCTCTGGAAAAGAGGTTAAACAACTGCAAAGCACACCTGCTGGATGGTCTGCCAGGTAATGAATTTGCATGCAACCGATGTGCTTCCTGCATCATTTAGACTCGTTGTCTTAATATGATTTGTGACAAGACAAAACAAAATATTTACCTATTGGAATTTGCTACTTCAAGTCAGTTTCATCCTGCATTTATGGGATAAAATAAATGGACAGTCCAATGCATCCAGAGGAATAATTAAAACTGCGGTACAAACGATTCTCTTTTGCTGATTTTTGTTATATGATGGAACCATCGTACTTCATACAGGTTCAACCTGAGAAGAGGGACAGAGCCTCAGAGGGGGCATCTTCTGCTGAAAATAGTGGAAGTGTGATTTTTTTATTCTATTTGAAAATCATGGGAAGAAAAACCTAAATCTATTTAACAGAACACTTGTACAAAGAGATGCCTCCTTAGTTTTGTGTATTAGTAGAACATCAAATTTCTTCAAAACTATGATTTCCAACTATTGCTGCATAAAGTATCAGCCCTGCTAATTAACCTCTGCAGTGACTCAATTATTTTTTCCCTATCAGCCCCCCACTTAAAAAAAATTATTCTTAGTGTGATGATAATGTGAAATTCATTTCATTGGTACCTCCCTCAGATAAATTTCACTTAAAAAAACATTTGGTGAATTGTGAAACTTCGATGTGTCAGGATACTCAAAACCAAACAAATGAAAAAGATAGATTAAAAAATGTAGTCCAAATTAAACTTCCAAGTCTTACCAACGACAGATGTTGGCAAAACCCCCAAAAACTGCCGGCCTGAAAATGCCTGATCATGTGTTTACAACCTTTTATAAACTTTGCAGGGAGAAATGAAATGGCAAGTCTTTCTGATTATTGCTTGCTGGATCTGTGTATGTAGCCAGAGTAATGGCTTTTATGAAACCAGCTTGGCAAGGGTATAAAAATGTTTTAAAACAGGAAGATTTTATCATTGCTAATAGGCCTTCTGTAAACAACCCCTGTTGGGTTAGAAACTTGGCCTCTAAAAGAAAATAAATTGCTTGCATTATCTAAAAACAGTATAATAAAACCGAAGTGCATACATAGATGTGTAACTGCAAAAGAGTACATTAATGCACAAAAGCTCTTTTGCCTTTTGTAAACTCTCTCCTTGTCATATATTCATACTACTCTATGGTGTTTAATACAACTAGGACTTCTTGACTACAGAGTTTTTTTATGTACCACTTCGGAGAATGAAATTCAGATAAGGCCATCTGCATGAACAGTTTCTAAAAAGGAGCGGCATGTCAGAGGTGAGCATACCTAGGCATGTTCCCCTTTGCTTTGCCAAAGCCAATCAATCATCCGCTTCTAAAAACAGAGGTTTTGTAAGCTTTAGAAACAGTATAGTAAGCATGCCTTAAAGAAAAGAACAGACCGAAATTATTCCTTCTAAACAATACATGAAGGTCTACCAACGCAGGCAAATTTTTCTCTTCCATACTTGTTTTTTGTGTGTGTGTGCGTGTGTACTCAAAACTCATCATTTTAAGCACCATTAATTTTTCTTCCTGCACCAGAAATCCTGCAAAAATGGGGTGAGCGAAGCAATCCATTAACAATTAGGTCTAAACTGCAGAATGAGAAACCACAAATGTAGTTTGAGTGTGCTTAGCTTTCCTTTAGAAGTGCATGTGATGTTCTGATAGAACCTTACTGTGCATTTCAGTCTTAAAATGTTTCCACAGAAGTGCGCGTTTGGCTGTGAAGAATAGTGAAATATCTTTTGCAGTTTATGGTTTTAACAGCATAGCTTACAAAATTAAAAAGGGGTACATTCTCACCCCCCCTTTTCTGAAAATTAAATTAAAATGTACAAGACCAAACACAGGCACTTTCCAAAAAGACAAAAATGAAACCAAACTGCGGACTTATTCAATAGTGATAGACGAGAGCCCTGGTTTCGGGGGGTCATCCCGGCTCACGTCGGCACTTGCAGTCGTCTTTGGCTGCTCTGGCATGTCTTCTTCCTTTTCTGCCAACCCACCCAGAGGCCCCAAGGGGAAAGTGCTTTCACAATTCTGAGTTGATGAAACCTGTGAAATGACAGGCATTTGGACAGAGGAGCTGCTTTCAAATCCATGCTCTCCTAGCTCATACTGGCCAAGAGTCTCTTCCTGTTCTTGGTTTAAGTAGTCCGGTACTAGGAAATCACTAGAAGGGAGGTCAAAGGTTAAGAGAGACAGTTACTTGTTAGTGAAACATTCAACATGCTTGTGCTAGCTACAGCATGTCGTAAGGCAACGATAAAGCTAACTTCACAGCATGGCCTCAGGAAAAACTGCCATTAAGAACTAAATCTCTATTATGGCTCTCATATGCCTTTCAAAGGTGCTGTGTGACACCTGTGTTATATAACATGCTAGGTCACTCCTTTAGAGCAGCTTGTCCCGTGACTCTAGCATGGTTATTGTCTTCATGCTACCACAAAGCTTTCTTTTCAAATGTCTGTGCTAGCATGGAGAATTCCAACATGCAGCAATCCCACAAGCTTTCTGCATGTAAGCTGAAACTTGTGAACTGCCCCCAAATTGCAGTGATATCATGCAAAACTACAGCAGAAGGTCTATTTTGTATTCCACTCCCCACTCCCTGGTGGTAATTTCGTTATCTGGGCATAGGTTCAAACCTGGCCACCCATCAAGACATATGAAAAACACACAGTACAATCAAAGTGCAATCATGCCCCAAAAAGATGGGAAAAGATTTAGTGTTTGTCTGCTTTGAAAAAAGAGGAACCAGTAAGGAAGCAGACCTAAATAAAAGAATACAGAAAACAAAACAAGTATCAGGCCCATGAATTGTATTCACCCCACCCTTGCCCCTGGCAGAGATAGCCCTATACTAAGCTAGGGGCTCTGGGGCCAATGGCCATGAGTTGAGGGTGATGGGAGTTGTAAACCATAACATGGAGGGTACCACACTAGCTGCCTCTACTCTGGGGGAAGCTGCAGCGTGGGGAAAAAGTGGTTGTGGAAAATTTTGCCAGGGAAAAAGCCATGGCGGGCATGAAACCCTCAGTTCTCAACCTGATTGTTTCACTCTCCCATGACACTGGGTGGTCTTGTATTGCAAAGTCAGGGCTTATCCACACTTAATTTTCCTCTGCTCTTTCCAGGCATGATTTAAAGCTCCAAGTCTGAGCACCCTATTTTTACTCTGGAGTTGTTCCCATGAAAACTCGCTTTTCATAGTGTTGAAAATCTGCAGAAAACATGAACTGACATTTGCTCCGATTCAGCTTTAAAGAGCAGGTTTTCATGGGGAAAGCTCGGAGCAAACAAAACAAAACAGAACAAAACACACAACATTAAAGCACAGGGTTCTGCCTGAAAAGAGTAGGGCAAAAGGTAAGTGTGGATAAACCTTAATGGGTGAAACCCAATGAAAAATATTTTTGTTGGACTAGGATTTCAAAATTTAAAAATAATATTCGGAGGTTTGGACAATTCAATTTTTTTGAAGTGGGAGTGGGAAACTTAAAGAGACACTAAAATGTATCTGGTACCCAAGAAAATTAATCATAAAAGGGCTCTGAGAAAACAAAAGTTAAACAAAAATACATAGCAGCATTTTGATCTGTGACAAAATCAAAAACCAAAATGGCATACATTAAAAAAAAGTTTTGAAACAAAAGGTTCCTTAAGTTTACTGTTTGTGGTCAATTACATATTAGAGAAAACTGATATTAGAAGTAAATAATAAAGGGTTGTAACAAACATTTCTGTGTGGTAGGCTTTAAAGGGTGCCCTACCAAGTACAAGCCAGTCAATATAAAGCCGTTTCAATTCAATTATTTTCAATGGGAGATTTATTTAAGTATTTGCTAAACATCTGGCGTAATCAACTTTGGTTGGTGCCCTTCCTTTCTGAAACTGGGAGGGCTATCCATTTCACGTCAGCTGAAATTAATTCCCCGTCAAAAAGTAGTATTGAAACATAACTAGACATTGCAAACCAGATCAGCCACATAAAGGGTAATTTGTTTCATTTGGATGCAGCTGTTAAAGCAGTTATGAAAACAAAGGCAAGAAGATGGGAATACCCTATTCAACACTGCTAACCTCCTCATGGATACTCCTGGTCAGTAAACCGAGGGGAATATTAATGTGAGGCAGTCTAAAGGCAACATGCTGCCCTGATTATGTAATATATAGAATATATACAGTTTTTTACAACCCCAAAAGCAGAATAGAGATTATTGGTGACAAGGATGCAGTAGCCCACTGGACTGCAATAAACTGGCAACCCGGTGGAAAAAGATACTACAGGCTGCCCCAAACACAGGAAGAGATGGTTCAGGAATAAAAAAAAGGCATGTTTCCCTGATAGGTTTTTTTGCGGTGCACCTCACCTGCTCTGGAAGTAGTTTGCTAGCTCTGACGCTTCATGGTTCAGACTCCTCAGATGAACGATTAAATTTCCAGAGTTGGTGAACATGGCGCCACATGTTTTGCACTCGTAAATCCGAGGCTTGCGGATAATGTGCCGGGAAACCCGCATGTGGTGTTTATATTCCCCGAAGGAAGTGAAAGTGGCACTACATATCTGGCACCGGAAACAGCGTTTACCTTCGTGCTTCAGGCGATGCATCTTTAGCGAATAAGCCCGGGTGAACTTTTTCCCACAACGGTCACACTGAAATGGTTTAATGCCTGTGGGAAGACAGAGAAGGAGGAAATTGACTCTCCCCACCTTAAGCCAATAAGGGGCAAACTCCATTCTTCACGGACTGTAAGGGCAGAAGCTTCTACCTATTAACACGGAAACTGCTTTCTGAAGCTTCTAAGAGCCGTCAAAGGCTGAAAGTAATAGCAGTGGTTTTTCAAAAAGCTGGGAATATGAATCTTTCAATTAGATATCAATCAGCTGCAGGATACATAACTTAAATCTGATGTACAGTGTTGGAGCAATAATGCCTGCATCACATGCTTGGTAATTTTGTTATGCTTGCAAGAATGCTTTCGGTCGGCCACAGTGCAACATTCTTTGCACTCTTCTCCTCATGGTAGACAGATGTTAAGACTAAGCAGTCTTTCCTCTCTGCTCTTGATTATACAGGTTGACTGAAAATGCACTCCTAAGTTGCAATCCTATGCACACCAGCTAGGAGCAAGTCCTACTGAACTCCATGTGTGGTATGTGCAGAGGGAACAAGTTCTGATCACTTCTCCCCTCTGCATATCTCCTAAACATGTTCCCTGAACCCCCTAGAGTAGATTTAAGGGGCACAGGAGGACATGGGAGAAGTCCTGTTGCATAAGCAGACCTTGTTCTGTGCACTCAACAACTTAATTGAACCCCACGCAGTGGAACTTCTGAGTAGACATGCAGAGGATTGTGTTGTTCAGTTTTATTGTTTTACACAGCTCCAAACCCTTATGAAAGCATCTCTGTGCACCATTTTAATTTATTTTAGCTAGGAAGGCTTTGAACTCCTAGCAATAAGGCTCCAATGTGGAAGAATGTTAGCCTAGCTATTGTTATTTATTATTATTAATAATAATATTTTTAAGGCCCAGCACCAGCAAGGATATGGCTGCTGAGTGAAAAAAGATGTTGCATGCTCTTCAAGTCACATGGGGGTTGCGATCAAACAATGCATTTCAGAAGCACAATGTGGAAGGTCCTTACCTGAGTGGATAAGCATGTGCTGTTTTAAGTTCTGAATACGGGTGAATCGAACACCACAGGTGGGACACTGAAAAGGTCTATCAGGGCCATTTGGGCTGGGTCTCTCTGTGCTACTGGTTGAAGGAGCAATATAGAGCTGGTAAGGATACTGGACATTCTCCAATCTGAAGAGGCAAGCAATCACTCTTTTAGAGGGAGATCAAGGAGAAAAATGTGAAATACCTAAACGCAAATATGAATGTATATAAAAACAACAACGAAACCTCAACAACAAATTCAGAAGCAAAACTGAAGTTCATTCTGCTAAACTGCATTAAATCCCTCAATCTCCTAAAAGACTGTTTTGGCTGCAGTGGAATTCTTATGGAAACTGATGAACAACATGCTGGCAGTCAATGCATGAAAATGAATAATTTGCATTAAAATACTGTCACAGTGAATTTGCATCTGAATCATTGCTAAAGTAAGCCTTTCAGAAAACTGGTTACATTTGTGATGGGTTAGTAAAATCAAGAGTGCGGCTGCAGTGTCTGGACCAAGTACCAGGCTTAAATCCCACCTCTCATCTGAATTGCTCGGGTGGCCTTGTACAAATTACAACAGCAGTGACTACCTTACCATGCTGTTAAGATTATTTATGAATTTGTACCCACTGATTTTATATAGAATTAATGCAGTACAAAATAAAATAAACTACCAAATAAAACCAAAAGCAGACAATAAGAGACTGATAGTTCTGAGACTGCACACTCCTTCCCCATACCCCAGCTCAAGGTTTTCCTGCCAGCCTCAACCAAGGTTGAAGATTGGCATAAGAACTGTTGTTACAATGATAATGGTATTTAGTACATACAATTGGTTATGACTTTGGTATTCAATCACCTTTCCTCCGTGGTGTAACAAGGTTAGGCTGAAAATTGGTGACTGATCCAAGGTTACCCAGCAAGCTTTCTGACTAAAAGAAATTTGACCTTCTGGGTCCAAAACTACTACCACACTGGCTGTTTTATTCTGGAAGGCTTTTGGGAACTTTTTTTTCCTTAAAGGAAAGGCTTTTAACAGTGCCGTGCTGTTTTTATTATCTGTATTTTAATAAATTTGTTTTTTTAACATGGCTTTAATTCTATTATAGTTTAATAACTTTTTAACAATTATCTTTTATATGTTTTTAGCTTTCTGTATTTTATCTGTGTTGTTTTAAATTCTGTAAGCTGCCTTATGTCCCAGTCTGGAGAAGAGGCAGGATACAAATAATAATAATAATAATAATAATAATAAACAATGCCCCTCCTCTCTTCTTTAGTTAAAATCTCAACCTCAGAACCATTTCAGCACATAATCAAGCACTAACATTCACAACCTTTCTAAATCATGTGATCCATTAGATATGAACTGTATCTTACTCTGCACAGAAATTGCATACATGTGTGCAGTCTCACAGTATCCTAGGCCCTGCAGAACACTTCTCACACTGTGTGTGTACGTACCGGTCATCATCATCTGCATGAACGTTACCACCAGAGGTACTCTGGAGTGTTGGCAATCCCTCAGTGACCCCTTCATCTATTGAACCTAGGCAGTTAAAGAAACAACACACATTAATCTTCAGTTTAATGGAAGCATGTATGCACCAAGATATATAATCAGCTCCGTAAGAACTTTACTACTTCGATTACACATTTCAAAAGCCAATGATCGCAAAGATGGCTTAATAAATAGTTCAGTAATAAGAATGTGTGTCTCAAAATAACCAACTAAAATCACAATCTCTTTGATTTAGGGCCCATGGGTCTGGGAACTACCTATCCACGTACTGTTATTTTATTTGCCCTAGGTACTGATATGGTTGGACTTGTATTAAGCTTTCTATCTTGCTTTTATTTTGGACCTACTTGTAGAGAGAGAGTAAGTTAAAAGTATTTTTCTGAAAAATAAAAAATATATACTTTTTATTTAGCTGTAAATTAATCTATCAACTCAGATTTAAGTAGAAAATACCTTGAGAGGGATATCAAGCTGACATGTTAAATGGTGCAATGCATGCAGAAAGAGGCAAAGACCAAGTGCCCAACTAAAAAGTAGTCTCTGAAGTCCACATCTTTTTCTCACAAGCTCCCTCTTCTAACTGTGGCCCCCCCAAACATGATTTGTTGTGTGCACAATACACTCCCAAGCAACCTAAACACAATGACCTGTTTTCTACGCAGTAAGTTTCGAACACTACTATGCACAGAGGCAAATACTTGTTTTACTCAGTCTACATTTAATTCTTTGTATCTCCCAAATCATAATTGTAGTATATCATAAATATTCAAAACAGAAAAAAGGAACAGCAATTTTAGTAAATCGTATTAGAGATTATGTGATTTAATGTTCTTTTACGGAAAACACTTCTTGGAGAACATCACTGTTGATCGCAAGTGTGGCTTTGGAAAGACAATGCTTAGACATTGATTACTGAGGTTGATAAATTGTGTATGCTGACTTTTCTTGGCCAGACCTTGTCCACCATTCTTAAAGCGTCAGCTCCTGGCTGGCTCATTATTAATCTGAGGCTGTGATCCTAAAAATACCAGGAAGGCCCATCAAACTCTGTGGGGCTTATTTCTTAGTCAGCACTTAAGTCTACAAAGCCATTTAAATGGTACAAGATCTCCAAGTGAAAATCTATTGTTTAATTATGTTAAGAATTGTAACTTGTTAAGAAAATAAAAACAATGGCTTTGAACACTCATATAGTGAGCATAGTTTTAACAACTTATTCAGATTGTGATTATATAAAACAGCAGATTCATAGAGCAAGCTCTAGGCTGCAGGCATAAACAAATGAAAACAACATAAATGTTAATTACACAGTGGTACCTCAGGTCACGTCATCTTCGCGTAACGTTATTTCAAGTTACGAACTCGGCAAACCCAGAAGTTTATACTTTTGGGTTTTGTCACATGCGCATGTGCAGTAGTGCTCTATTGTGCCGTGTGCATGTGCAGAAGTGGTGCCTCTGGATATGGACTTTTCGGGGTAAGTACGGACCCCCGGGACGAATTAAGTTTGTATCCGGAGGGTCCGCTGTACAGTATGTACTTTATATATTGAAAATGTCTGCATGTATGTAGACATTTGCTTGATTTTTAAATCCATTTATTAAACAAAATTGTAACTATTAGGCAACACAGATTATCTCTGTAGTCACCTTCACAATTATAAGTGAAAAATCTGGCAGATGCTGCCAATGGCATCCTTCCAGCTCTATTCACATGCAAATAAAATGCACATATGCAGTAAGTTGCACAATAATGTGGATGGGGATTACCATTCAAATACACAATAAAATGTTCATGCTGTCCAAAACGATACAGGGCAGATAAGACTGCATCTTCACTTTGATACATAGCAGAATTATGTCTACAGTTCTCAATCCAGTGAGGGATATGTCTGTGTTAAGTCTGATTATGCACCCAGATCTACTTAAATGGATCAGGAAATGAGGTCCCCAATATTGTTTCCTTCTCCTTTTCTCTGAACTCTGCAAAATCTTTCCTCATATTGCCTTCCTTCCTATAAACCAGCTATGAAAAATACACACAGTTCAGCTGGGTCTCTAAATGTCTGCCTCAAACCTCAATATAAAGGTAATTCCTCAACCTTTAGCCTTCCTCTGCTATCTCAATACTATTAATTAAGCTTATGGCCAAGGCAAAGTGGGCTGGGGTGGCCTATGTTTTGTTTTGCATTAAACCAATGATCTTTCCCATTCTGTAACACTGTATCAGCTGTGTTTAAAGCTTCAAGGCCATTTTACTCACTACCAGTCATTTTGTATAAATATTCTAATCATAATAAATTGAGTGCTTCTTGCTCTTTCCCCAAAGCAGGCAAGATAATATTGGCATCTATTGGTTTCTGCTAATTTCCCTCAAAATAAGCAAAGCAATATTGGTATTTACAACTGTGGCATGCAGCAGTCTCCAGAAAAGATGTAAGATATGGATTTATATGAATGTGCCTGCAAATGCTGGTCAGGAAGGTGTGACGGAAAAGTATGATTTTGCTGGGCAGGTTGGTTCACCAAGTGTTTTCTTTTTCTTTTTTCCCTGCCACCAAATGGTTAATGAATGGCAGCTTCCGATTGGCCCGGGGTTCCAGGAGAGGGAGCTGAAAAGGAGAGGTTTTGGAGAGACAGTTTGGAGGTTGGGAGATAGGGAGGGAGAGGAGAGGAGAGTGAGTTGGTTCTGGGTAGAAACATCCACTCTGAGGAATATATCAAAGGCTAGAGAAAAGAGTCTCTGCTCTTAGTGTGAAGGACAGTGTGTGGTGTCCTGTAAGAGTAATAAGCCAGGAATTAACTGGGAGGCTGAGGCTGAGCCAGGAGAAGTAGAAGCTGGAAAGATACAGTCTACTTAGGTCTCACTTAGGTCAGGAGGGGAGAGATTCTTCTACAAAAAGAGAAGACTCCCAAACCAGTTAAGAGGGGTGTGGTGATGCCTTGGGTCTGTTACTTGGAGTAGGGTTGTCAAAGGGGTGTGTAAACTGACAGGAAGTACCACCTTGTTTAAGAACCAAAGTATTAAGCGGCAACAGCTGTGAAACAACTGAGAAAGAACTGAAGTGAAATAACATTACAATCTGAAGTATCTATGTTTTACCCACTTTGTGTCATAAACTTCCTTTGTTAAATAAAATCTTTCTTGTTTCTTTGGTCAAATCCTGCCTGAGACTCCAAATTATTAAGTTTTCCCTCATACAGGTCCCCCACAAGATAATCTGGGGTGGTTTGTAGGAATTCATGGAATTGGTGTTCTGTGAGGTGGGTGCACTATATTTAAGTGAGGGCGGGCCCAACGGCACCAGGGGGAAAAGTACCATTGCCCCGTCACAGAAGGCATCTAGTTACTTCTGTGCCAAGCATGCAATAATATCCCAGCCAAAAAAGGAAATGATCGTACGTTTAAACTTTTAGTTTAGTGACACAGTGCTACTCTAAAATTGTGTTTTTAAAAGATATCTTACTGAAAATATTTGACAAATATAATTTCTGTATGCCCTCTACCCCCAGTAAACCACAATGCATGATGTGGATTATGGATGAGTAAATAGATTAACCAGAGAAGCATCAGAGACATGTGCTCTCTTAGGACTGCTGCCTGCCTCTCTGATGATCTTTATTCTAGAAGTGGAGAAGCTCAAGTAAGAAACAGAGAGCAGTGCAGTCAAGCAAGAATCATCAAAATGCAATCTACTTCTTGAGCAAGAAACCCACCGAAATGAAGTTATGCAAGATGCTTAAACAGTATTTATTTCATAGGGTATAGTGAACCTCCTAGTGGACTGCACCCCTCATCTTCAAGGACTCCAAAGACAGCCACCCTGAAGAGATCATTCTGTTTGCTGGTGCCTTGTGTAGTTACTAATGGCAGCCAGCAAGGGGCCTGTTCTGAAGAACGTCAGAAGAAAATCCTGAGGGCCTGAACCTTGAACAGTGCCCCAGACCACCAGCATCTTCTTGAAATCCCATTTTACAGGACTGGTAAGAAAAAAGAAGCAACTGAGGAAGAGAAGTCATAAAGCAGACATTACCGCGGGGGCCCCCCAATGCAGGAATAAACTATAACAAAACTCAAGTACACACCTGACAAACAGCCCATCACTGAAACAGATGAGGCAAACAAATATGCCTCACGCCATACCTTAAGTTAGATACATGATGATTTTTGAAGTAGCCATGGCTAGTATTGTCTCCCCCCACTCAAATGTATGGAATTATGCCTCCAAATTCCCAAGAAAACTGAATAAAGTTTGACCATCTGCTACAGCAGCTACTTGCTGTACCAATGGAGTTCCAGCATAAACAAGGACTTCCCCATTCATTTCAATGTGGGACAGACTCTGGGGACATGAAGAACTGCCTGTGACACCAGACAGGAGAAACCCTTTAGATGCTGGTACCCTTGTGGGCTTATATGTATCCAGAGCACCTCAGAGTTTTAGATCAGATCACAGATCTTTCAGGCTGGCAAGTTGCTGTTTCCCCTTGACGCTGATTTCAGGTGGGGTTTTTTTTTGGTCTGCTGAAGCTTCTGTTTTCCTTTAAATGATGCAATAAACTATATTCCACGCTTTTCATGTAATGATTTTTCATAACTGATCACATGTCACTGGCAACTTCTTCTCTGAACTCCCACTTCCATGTGTTTAAGGGCATGGGTCAGATTACATCAGTCAAGTGAACCAACTTCTTGCTAAAGGAAAGCTGCCAAGGGGGAAAGAACACTGTCTCCCCCATTAATTTATAAACCACATTCTCACATTTCTGGCAGATTAGTTATAAAGCGTCTAGTAAGATAATGAATAACACATTCACATTTGTGTGCCTTCAATTCAAAGAAGATTCACAACTGCTAAAGTCTGCAAAAGCTCTAGTAGGTGAAGCAATTTAATTTGAGCAGAAATGCTACCAATATAGAATGTCAACATAAGAGCTATTCAAAGCATGATGCAAAAATAGCAACAGAAATATGTTGAGGCATGTGCCTCTGGAAAACTGTTCCTGCTTCCTTAAAGCAACAATGCAGTTGAGGTAGCATGACTGGACGGCTCAGACATTTCCTCCCTGAAAGGATCAAGTCAGAGAAACTAGTCACCCTCCACCCCTCAGGCCATAATCATAAGCACACTTCCTAGGGTGTAAGACCCATAGAACTCAATGGGATTTACTTCTAGTTGAGTCCACTCTGGTTTATTTTTATCCCACTTTTCTAGAGGATAAAAAAATTCCCACAAAAAGCATTTACTTCTGGATAAATGTGCTTAGAATCAAACTATAAATGAGATGTTTACGTTACAAGACAGAAAATTCAACATTGAGTTGCAAAGCCCATCAAAGGCACTTCACACTATTTAGACCAAACAAAATGGTTGAGGGGCAATGAAAAGCAATCAGCGCTATTAGATAGCATTTACAGAAAAGCCTATAGAGCTTGTTTGAAAAAAAGTGTCACTCTATTATTCGAAATATTTACATAACAAGATGAAGCCTTTGTACACAGTATCCAACAATATCCAATAAAACCACAACAAAACATACAGAGTGATTGTACCTATAGATGATGACTGTGGGCTGATCAAGAGGTCCTCCTGAACTTGTTCGCTTCCTGGAACTGTCTGTTGATCACTCAGAGAACTTTGGGATGCACTGACAGGCTGCGATACTTCCTCATGGACTTCCTCGTCGCTTAACCTTTCCACTTTAACACGCACATCTTCTTCAATGACCAGAGGTGAGCTGGCCTTTGTGCTCTCACAAGTCACATAATCAGCAATTCTTCTAGCTGCTTCAGATGGACCAGGCACTTCTAGAGTCCGAGAATTTTCTACTTGCTTCACCTTCTCTGACTGAAGTCTTCGGTCGATTCCAAAAGGGAAAGTCCAAGGAAAAGCTAAAGAAGAGTCTACAGGGTGACTTCTAGACTCTGCATAGGAAGCTGAAGGATTCAGAACTTGTGGTGAGTTTGTCTGAGTGCTACATTTAAGTGGACTTTCTGGCGACATGACTATGTAACTTTTACGTTTCCGTCGTGACTCTCTGCAAACAGGAATGGTTCTTTCCACCACACTGCATTCAGAGGAAACTGGAGAAAGGCTGCCATCTCGAGAGGTAAAGTTGCAATTTGCACTGTTTTCCTGTCCTGTATCTAGCACCTTTTCTTGCTGGCTACTAGGAGTGTTCCACAAAATGCTCGACTTCATGAACTCGGAACACGTGCTAGCAACACTGAACATTTGCATATAGCTGGCCGCGGCCAAGACATCAATAATATTTTCTGTGTTAATAGACAATGTTGCTGTGTATGCATATTCCAGAAGAGGCATGAACCCAGTCACTGTCACGTGATGCAGGTCAAGTACACTTTTGCCATCATCCTCTGCTTGGCCAACCAACTTGGAACGGAAGAAGTCACTGCAGGCAGCCAGTACCACCTTGTGTGCTCTGAAGATTTTGTCTTGGACACGAATGGTGATGTCGCAGAAGTGTCCATCGTTACGCAGCATGTTAAGCTTCCCAAGCATCTCCTGGCTGTGTGCAGGGGAATTGTGGGTAAATGTTTTGACGCCCATTTTCCTCCGATGTTTGCTAGGATCCACAATGCAAGAGATCAAAATGTGCCTAGAAAATAAATAAAAAGTCAACTGTGAAATTAATGCTGTCTCACAGTTACTATGAAAAAAGTTTAGTGCTTGGGAATTCATCAGAAAATCTGCCATCACTATGTGTTGAACTCCAACTCCATAGGAATGCCCCAGTCAGTAATTTATTTCTAAGCTGTTACAAAGGAGAAACTATTCTGCTAGTTTGCTGCCCACCCCAAATGACAATATGAGGCTGAAATTCTACATTACTGTTGGTTGAGAGAGGATAGATTACTGACCATAGTTTAATATGTTATGGAAACAAGCCTGCCTGAGCTTCAGGTTCAAGTGTTCCCCATTCTTTTCTTGGGTGTGGCTGCAAGAAGACAACTGGAACCCATAGGTTGAGGTTACTGAAGTTTATTGAAAAGAAGCCTATGGTTTAGTTGTACATCCAAGCTGGGCCACTAACTTTGGCAGTACAGAGTAAGGATTGTTCTTAACAGCAAGTTCTGAAAAACTGAGAAGTTTCATTTTGGTCATTCACTGATAATTGGGTTAGGGTTGGAATAGGAGCTGGACAGGGCAAAAGGTCGCCAAGGTATCAGGATCTATGATAGTTTAGCTCATAAGAGTGTGACAGACAAGGATTTGTTTGGTGACTCAAGTTGCAATGAAATGTACACTTTCCTGGGCTTAAACCTACCTGAACACAAAAGGGTTTACTTCTAAGTAAAGCACAGAATTGCATTATCATTGCAGGGTTGTTTTTTGAAAAGATTAATTACTGTATCAACAAAGCAAAAATCTGCATCTAAATGCAAGACTAGCACCAGTATGGCTAAAAGTATAAAGTTATGGAAGGAAATAAAAGATCATGCATGTTTAAGGAAGCCTGGCATCTACCTTGCATTTTACAGGATAACAACTAAAACTTCATTTTAGTAGCAGTCTAGTTGTCCTGGTAAATTACTCATCACTCTGTTGAAAAACAGCCAATTTTGACCTCATTTTCCTGTCTTGTTCCTGCTTTCTCACTCATCATATTGCAAATTACTTCAAGAGAAAATAATTTGTCTTCTGGAGCACAAAATCAACTGACTAGCATTATGGAGATCACATGGTTCATCTACTTCAATAGCTGAAAATTATGAAGGAAACGCTAACAATATAACAAGGCAAAGACCTACTAGATTGGCTATACATGGATTTAGAATGAAATTGTGCCCCATTTAGAAAAAAAGAATTAAGCACAACACATCTTTTGAATGAAACTGTCTGCAAGAAGACAAAGGTTCTGAATATCTATTAGCCAACATAAAATCGACTTCAATAAGTCCAAAATATTACTGATTATAAACTGATCTTTAAAAAATCCTTCCTTCTAATTTCCCTATCAGGTCCAATGCTGGATTGGGATACAATGGGTCCTGAGCTCCTCTGAATTCCTCATTTTAGGGGCTTCTGCTACCTGGGAACCCACTGGAAGCACTTCTACCAATCTGATCATTTGACAGGTGTACCGGGAGCTCCACACTGGCGGAGTGACACTGATAGCACTCTGCAGTGTCTAGCAGGACTGGCTGGGGGGAAATCTCTGCCCAGTCCAACACACACCCTGGCACAAATCAGGGTTTGGAATGCACCTGTAGTCATGGGAATGATGCGGCAGTGGCTTTAAACCTCAACAGCAATTTAATCAAACTAGCCCTAGTACAACTGGGCGGCTGGATGTGGCCAATGGCATTTCTTTATTCTTCCAACATGATGGGTCTTCTCATCATTCTTAGCCTAAATAGTAACCCAATCTTCCCTTCCCAACTTTCTTGCCGTAATCTATTAAGTTGTGTTAAGTTTAAGGCATCTAACTAATTACTCTAGAATGGTTATGATTTTGTGGGACATTGGTACACTCCTGTGAGGCTAGTGGTTTTAATATATAAATGCTGAGGTGCACAGCACTTGAACGCGCTAGTAAGCAGAGGCTTTAACCCCACTGAAGTATATTCAACCTTTGACTTTCTGCCTTAACCCCATGTCAGAAACTTGCAAATCCAACTGGAGGTCCACATCCTTGGCTCTTTAATTAGCCACAGCTTTTAGACTCTAACCTAGCAGAAAAGAATAATCCTGCCCACTTACTGCAACTTGGCAGGATGATTATGATAGTTGCATCTAAGGGCAATGACAACAAATCTTTAAACAAAAAGCACACTACTCTTCAGAAACTTTAGCACGGCAAGATGGCTATCACCCCAGTAGTATTTCTAGACCAAGTGAACAAATCACAAGAGATGAGGCTACAACCGTTTTTCAGATCTTGCTGCTTTCAATAATACTCATGGAATTCTAAATATAGCACAACAGGCTCCTTATACTGGAATGGGCATCTCAGGTCAACTTCTTAAGACAGTCTTATCTGAAAGATAACTTATAAGTATGAACTTTCCAACGCTGTGCTATCCAAAATAAATCTCAATAGCTGCTGGTAGCTTACATGCAACCCTGCACAATGTCCTACAGAAGTTAGAAGGATTTACTTTATTTAAGGCATGTGGATATTGCTCTTCAAATAATTATCCCAAGACAGTTTACAATGGAAACAAAACAAAACAATTAAAACCAATGTAACAAATAACACAATTAAAACAACATAGCAATAAACTTCAATATCCAGTAAAGTACAACCTTCTTTCAATACTGGTCTGTAAGGTACCTGAGTTTCATGCCATGAAGTGCTTTAAAGGATTAAAACTAGCATCCTGAATTGAACATGAGAACAAACAAGTAGCGTACATTTCTCAGAACTAGTAATATGTTCCCAATGGATCTTCTCAGCTAAATTCTGCTCCTCTATTCTGAAATAACTGTATCTTATTAAGAGTCTCAAAGGGCAGTTCTGCCTAACACATTATAGTGGCTTAAATGAGATGTCACTAGTGTGGATCAGCATCTCCCCAAAATCCCTGTCCAGGAGAGGTCACAGCTGAAGTACCAGCCTCAGCTACTAGAAAGCACTGCGCCACCACAAGGACCCTAAAGCAAACTTGAAAAGGCTTGATCAAGGAGTACTTCTAAGCTGTGATTCTGATTTTCAGAGTTCTTTCTCAAATAAGGGAGCTGCCCAGCCCCAGCGCCTTTGTCTTATTGTAATTTATTATCGTTATCATCATCACTACTACTACTGCTATTATTATTATCAGTTGTCTTACATGTGGCTGATGTGAAAAAGGTGAATTTCAAAAAGGGGATCATTAAGAAAGGAATTTTTAAAATGCCTTTGCACAAATCTATGCATCCACATTTGGAATACTGTGTACACTTCTGGCCTCCACACCTAAATTTTTTTGCAGAGTTGGAAAGGTGCAGAGCAGGGAAAACAAAGTAAGCTACTCTCTTATGAGGAACTGTCAGAATGTCTGAGGCTTTATAGCTGGGGAGGGGGGAATTGAGTTGGTGGTGGTGGGGACACATGATAGCAGGGTATAAAATTATGCATGATGTAGAAAAAGTAAATAGCAAGAGTTCTCTCTCTCTCATACAGTACTAGAACCTGAGGCCATCCCATTTTCACACACTGTACAGTTTAACTTGGGAATTTGCTCCTACAAAATGTTGTGATACTCACAAACTTGGATGGCTTTAAGAGGGTTAGACAAACTCATGACTAGCCATGGCTATTATGTTCTACCTCTACCACAGAGAGGCAATATTCCTCTAAATACCAGGTGCTGGGGAACAACAGCAGGTGAAAGCTAGGGTGCTCATTCATGTCCCAATTTTGTGCTTCTCAGAGGGAGCTGATTGGCCACTGGGAAAATACTGGACAAGACGTGCCTTTGGTCTGATACAGAAAGGAATTTATTATTGTCTTTATTTGCTCTCGCCAGTTGATTACTACAACCAGATGAATCAGCTCTCTCCTACTGCCCCACATGATTTAGACCAACTTAGGAAACACAGACATCAGCATACTGAAGACACCTAACTGCAAACCCCTCTCACACTGGTTTCAAAAAGGTGTTAAATAACATGGTGGATAAGTGGCAACTTGCAAGACCTTTGGTACAAGCCATGCAGATTGGATTGGAATACTACATCACTATGCGCCTACCCTGCCTAGTCAGTTCTGGAAGATACCATGGTTGATGGTATAAAAAGCTGCTGAGACGTTGAGAAGAATCAATATGGTCACACTCCCCCTATCTTGCAGTTCAGGTCATCCATTAAGCGACAAAAGCAGTTTCCATATCAAAATCAGGCCTGAAATCATACTGAAATGGGCCTAGAACAGGGGTGTGGAACCTCAGCCCTGTCTACCCAGCGCTCAGAACTCTGCCCAAGTCACACTCTCCCACTCATTCACTGGTCTTCCTCTAGTGCTTTTGCCTGGTTAGAATATGTCCTTGATTTGTGGCAATAACTCTTGATTGTCAGATGGAGTGGTGTCTGACTGCATCCACCCTTGCTACACCTCAAAAGGTTGCATCACAAGGGGCTATGGTCATCAAGCTGAATTAGGTTCCACACTCCTGGACCAGAAGATCAGTTTCATCCAAGAGACCCTAGTTACACAGTCTTCACTCACTCAAGCACTTTACCCCAAAAGGGGATTATTTGTGATGGGCTGACAGCTGTTATACCTCTTGTGGTCCAGAGCTGTTATAATTCTTAGAGGAGCAGTTGTCCCAACTGCCTCCTTCAAAGCAGGCAGAAGCACTTCCTCTTACAACGACAACGTTTTCCTGAACCCAGGCATTCTATCCCCTATGGCTAGCTGCTATTATGCAAGAAGGGCAAGGCTCAAGCATGTAAGTCGATGGCTGTACCTCTCCAAGAATCCTGTTTACCTCTTCAGGCTACAAATAGAACCAGTTCATTTTCAAAGACAAGTTCCAAAATAAATATCCCTAAATGTATGTAGGTTAAACAGCACCAATACATTAGGATATTCAATTAAACCTTATAAAAACACTTAACTCTTCAACAGTATCATGAGAAGCTGCAATCCTATGCTCGCTTACCTGGAAGTAAGCCCCAATTGAGCTCAATAGAATATGAGCATACTTATTCAGTAGCAAGTCTGGTAGTAATGCTAAAGCTAGTTATCCTTCATTTGCATTTATTTGATTTATCCTGTTCCATTCCAGTCCATAGTATCTTTGAAAGGAGAAAGCTTTTTTGTTGTTGTTTTTTTGCTCAAAACCTGTGACTGAAAGATCTGCACCTTTCAACTGTGAGCTTTCACTTTAAGCTTCACAGACGTTAGAAAACTGAAGGGTTGCTTCAACTGAGACAAGCTCCAACTTTTTAAAAGTATGTTCCACAACTATATTTTCAAACATTCATTTTTTACTTAATGCAGAAATTTAATGCAAGTGAGAAGAGTAAGAGGCTGTTATCAGTGTGATCTTGCTACTATATTGCAGAAACAATATGTGTGGCAGATGCCCAGATTCACTCCTGTATGAAATACATAAAGACAGTGTGCATTTTTATTTCAAGTGGATTACTTGGGTAGTAATTTTGCAGTAGCTCTGTTATCATGCAGCTATGGCTGGAACCCGAGGTCAAAGTCTAGGGTCCAACAGCTGGGGGGAAGGGGGAAGCAGGAAAATGACCAGGAAGATTTTGGGGGAAGACCCCCATGTTAGCACCTGTGCCCCACCAGGACTGATGCTGGTTGCCAAACTTCCTATCATATTATTTCTGTAATATGTTTATACTCAGGAGGTAGCCAGCCAGGCATGGGAAGGTTACAGATGCTCATTTTATTCTACCAGTACTGCTGGTAGAAGACTAAGAAGTGGATCCCCAAATGCACATTTGGGTTAAAGGCGGGTCTTGAGTCTGAAAAAGTTTGCGACTATTGGTCTACTTTAGATGGTGTTATGATTTAAGCGAGTTTAAAATGAAAACTCATGCTCTATAGAATTTTCTTTTAAAAAAAAACCACACACCAAGATTGGCAAGTATGGGTTTTGTTTTTGATCTAACATATCAGAAATCAAGAAACAGTTGTAAAGCATGGATTTACAATAGGAGAGAACGAATATATCACTTGTCTTCTTCACAAGTGGAGCAACATACAAGGATCTCCATCTCCCCTAGTGAGACCATTAAGTCCAGCCTCTAAAATTATCTATTGACCTGTAAATTGCAGCAGTTGTTTGACTTAATTTTTCTTATGAAGCTTTTAATTTCCCCAAAAACTTTTCACTTTTTCTTATTTGTGCCTCTGAAAAGTTACCTTCCCAAAAGTGGTTTTTCTCCTCTGCGGCTTCCCACTGTTACCTGTTTTTGTGCTTCTGTGCTCAGATGTTCAAGGTGTGTATGCATTAGTTAACCCATCCATTCAACTTATGTAAGCCACTTCTGTAAAAGGAAATAACTTTCAGGAATCTTGCTCAAGTTTAAACAAGACAAGTACCTGGCATTGTGCTCACCCTTTCTAAATCAAGTCAATTTTTAGTCAATTGTCTGAACAAAACAGTATCTTTAGAGACCCCCCCCCAGGTTTTGTCCCCCTACTACTGCAGAACTGATGGACACAACATAACTAGACTGTCTTAAAAAACTGCTGAGTTCAGATGTGTTGCTCTGCTGTGTTTGTTTTTTATGTGTGAATCAAGACCTGGCAAATTAAGATAATGACTGAGTTGGCAGATTTGGCTGCAGTTTTGGGTGTGTATTTGTCTCTGGAAGGAGCTCTTCCATCTATTTACCTTTTTCTTGCCCTTAGCCATAGGGAAAGGTGACAAGTGAGTTTTAATTAGCTATTTGCATTTGTTGCAGACGCCTTAAAAGAAATAGCCTGGAAACTGCTTTTGCATGTAACTTATCTGAGGGCTGTGCAAGACTGCTTATGGTAAAGCACAGAATGGCAGTGGGGGAAGAAGAACCATAGAAGAAAAAGACAGTTTACTAATGCTCAGAGACATCAACGTATTACTTCAATGTACATGGGCTAAGCTCTAGCATTGCAAATCACTTCTGGTCTCAATGGTAGAAAACCCTGGTTCAAATTAAATGGAACCAGGGAAGAGAAGGTAAGATGTTCATCTGTGAAGTCATACATTTTACCACATATAAGTGCCAGTTTGCACAAAAAGAATTACTGTTTTGTTTTTTGTCAATTAGAATCTGCGGAAGGAATCCAGGCAACTGTGGCCTCCTATGCAAAGTATGTTTATTTGAAATTTATTATGGTGAAAAGGCCCCACATCCCCTCCTCCCACTATGGAACTTTTTTCTTAACTTTGCAGACCCAGAATAAACCTATGTATTATAAAGTTTAAGATTAGATTCCTTCAAAAAAAGTGGCTCATATTAAGGTACATCAATAGTGTGGCTTTTTGTAGGCTAGTAACTTTTGTGAAGTTATTTGCAAGGCTCATAATACACATGACTGAACATAAAACCTTTGTTATTTCACCCAAACAGAACGACTAAAGCAGACTAGATATTTAACTTTCCAAAAACCAGATCCAGCTTTGTCTAACGCTAACCTAGGGGTGGAGGGTGGTATGGGGAGAAGCATCTTATAAGATCCAAAATTGGGTAACTTGTTTTGAAGGACAACTTCAACAGGCTGGTAAATTTCATTTGATCATTAATATGGCAGCTACTTCATGTTACTATCTCAAACAGAAGTTTCTTGAATGTCAAATTATAAAAGCCTTCAAATGTGATATGATACTTCAAACGAGGACAATCAACTTGGCATGAGCTCCCAAATCCCTTTCACTTGCTCTTCTTCCTTCTGTATCTGCGGAGCAGTCTGAAAACCTACGGTATGCTATAACTGCTGGCTGCTAGACACTGAACTGAATTTAGTGCACTATATTGAGGTTTTGCAAAAACCAACTGGGATGCTGCTATCTAATGGGAACAACTGAATGATTAAAAGAAACACCTCTACCAACTGTAGCTTGTTGCTGAGAATAATAGCTTTCATATTCAAATTAGATTAATACCTGAAATAAGCAGATTGGGTCCACTTTAAATAGATGAGCAAGCTGCCTATTTCTGCTCAAGCAGTACTTGCTCTAATTTCATCACATGGAAACTTACTTTCAGGTAAATGCGTTTAGGAAAAGGTTATTCTTACCAAGACCAGTGGGACTCCTGGTAAACATTCTGAGGTTTGCAGTTTTACACACCTGTCTGCTTTGGGAACTGTCTGGCACAGACAACAGGCCTGCTGCACAAAACCACAGCAAGATAAGCAGAAGAGAGCTGTCCACTTCAGTTTGGTACAGGTGCCTTTCTACTTTTTGTAGTGGTACTAGATGGATGGGCTACTGTACAGAAAAGGGACAGAAACTTACTTTTATATAACCTGCACTATCTACATAAAAGCAAGCAGTAATACCATCACATTTTATCCCAAATTTTAGAGAACGAAGTGCCTTAGAATTTCACCAGAAATAAGTTCTTAGCTGCTAATCAGTGGGTTAATTGCATTGATCACAAAGTTGATCTATGGAAATATTAATTAGATCCATTATGAACAAAGAGCACTATTTATTTACTTTTCATTCAATCTAAGAACTTCTAGAATAATTTTGAATCCGAATGCACAAGACTACCAACCAACAAGGCATGTATCCCAAAATACTACTACCTGAATTGTTTCTACCACGATAAGCTTCAGAGTTATACCACCAGTAGATTTGTATAGCCCTTTTAAGTGTTCAAAATGCTTCACATGCATTATCTAGTTTTTACAACAACCCTGCAAGGTAGATCAGTATATTCTCCTTCTTGATATTACAGATGGGGAGGACCGAATCTGTGTGTTTATGCCACCTAACCATTTCATGGCAGAGGGTATAAATGAACCAGGGACCTCCTGATTTGTAACTTATCTCTATAGCTACTACACTATGTATACTATTTCCCTTGCTTCCATGATAATTTTAAGCCAGTGTGATGTAGTGGTTTGAGAATAAACAATGGCATCTGAGCTTCTTATCTTGAATTAAATACTTGTTAACTGTGAAACTCACTGAGCTGCCAGTATCTAATTTCCATCTCTCAGTCCAACTTACTGCACAGGTTTGTTGTGAGACCAAGAACATCACCCCTGCTTCCTTCTTGGAGAAAGAACACAAATGAACAGGCATATAGGAAGAGAAATATTTGGATTGTGAAACAAAGTCAGGTGTGGATTACGGTAACCTTTTCCCACTTTAGCGCCAACCTTGAAATTTATCCCTCAATAGGACATTTCCTGATGCAAATGTGCCCCAGAATGTTAAGCAGTCATATCAAATGCTCACAGCTGGCCCAATATGCACATAATGCTAAACCACAGTTGAGTGCTGTGAGGACAAGCCTTTACAAATTTGAGCCAAGCTTGAGCTTGAGCCCTTCTACTCACACGTGGCTGGGAGGAGGGCTTCTACCAAGTTAATTTGGCTTAGCATTGCACACAAATTGGGAATTGTGGCTTACAACAAGCAATGGTTAGTTGCTAGACAACCTGCTTCAAATCATGAATTATAAAACTGGCTTGCTTAACTAACCATAGTTTGTGGTAAACCATCCTGGGCATGTGGGAGGATGAAGAGGGTGGGTGGAGATACAAAATCAATGTTTCACTCAATCACACGGAGGCTTATCCATACAATGGTACATGTAAACACACATGCTAAATTGAGCAAGTTGAGCATTCTATACCTTTCCCAACCTGGAGGCAAGCATAGACATAGGGAAACCCTGAGAATAAGCATGATTTGAACTTTTAACCTGCAACACTATGGTCAAAACCTTCTCCTGTTTACCAGCAGATTTCTCCAGAATGTAGGCTCCATTATCTTATTACCTGAAGTAACAAAAACCGCACATGCATATTTCTTTCCTTGTGAATTGCCAATTTGGTACTGGGCAACAAAATGTGTGCACTGGCAAAGGTGTGAACTACAGAGAAGAAAGCAACCCCCTATTTTTTATCAATTACCACAATGTGGCCAGTCGTATTTGCAATCATCTTTAGGAAGGAAAATCTATACAGTAGACCCTTGGATTACGTTATGTAAACTTTGGGTTGCGAAAGCAGCAAACCTGGAAGTTTTCTTCCAGGTTTCGCCGCGTGCGCATGCACAGAAGTGCTCTACATGCCATGCACATGCGCAGAAGCAGCACCCCCGGTTGCAGAAACTTCAGGATATGGCTGGACCTCCAGAACGGATCCTGTCCGCAACTGGAAGTACCACTGTACACCATTTCTTAGTCCACCTGTGCTTTCTCCTTGGATGAAAGATCATTTAAACACAATAATGGTTCTAATGTGGGCTTGTTAGCATCTGGTGAAATAAATTCAGATTTTACTTCAATCAGCCAATGACCCTGAGGGTCATCTAGTTTAACCCCCTGAAATGCAGGAACTAAAGCACCCATGACAGATGGCCATCCCTCCTCTGCTTAAAATCTCCAATGAAGGAGTGTTCACCATCTTCCAAGGCAGTCTGTTCCACCGTCAAACAGCTCTTACTGTCAGAAAATTATTTCCGATGTTTAGTCAGGATCTCTTTTCTTGTAACTTGAATGCATTGGTTCAGGTCCTACCATCTGAAACAGGAAAAATACCAAGCTTTCTCCATCTTCCATGTGACAGCCCTTTAGATATTTGAAGGTAGCTGTCCTATATCTCCTCAGTCTTCTCTTCTCCAGGTTAAACATACTCAACTCCTTCAACTGTTCCTTTATTATGTTGGTCACCCTCCTCTGATAAATCAAGGCTAAAATCCAGCGCAGTCTGACCACCTTATACCTACTGATTTTAATAAGAATCCACATGCCTAACTTCACAAAGGATAATGCTGCATAGATTAGAATCCTTATTTTCTCACAATAATCTTGTAAAGCAGACTACAGGTGAGCAGAAACAGAATCTCATCCAAGACCATCCCCAGTCAGAGTTGGGATTTGATTCCAAGCTATCTCTACACAAGTTCAATACCGTCAGCTGGCCTATGGTAGTTTATCTAGAGGTACATGCAAAAATTAAACACCTTACAAGAAAGAGTCACTGACCAAAATAATAACAATCAACTTTCTGTAGTGAGATGTCCCAGTCTGTACGAAGAGACAAAAAAGGGAAACAAAGCTATACCTTAATAGCTTAATAGAGTAATGTTGATGAAGGAGAGAATTGAGATGGTGTTAAAAAAAGACAGGGAAAGAAGTAACTTGAAGGGAATGAGGTGGAGAGTTACATAGGAAATGATTGTACAGGAGCAACAGATTAGATACTTCCCAGAATCTTCTGGGTTTTTACTTGCTTGTTTTTAAACAAATGTCTGTACAGTCACTATTCTACTAAATAAGTAAGTGAAAATCTTCTATTAGCTTCCAGTGTTCCAGTTTTTTAAAAATCTTATGTTGCCTTTCCCTTATATTCTGTAACCTTCCATTACCCCAAAATGTCTGCCTAAAGGTCTGCTGGGCATTGTGGCATATTTAAGGAAAGTGATAGAAGTCAATATGTAAAGGAAATGGAGTTTGAAGAAATTATGTAAGAATTGCTGCACAAAGAGTGAGGTTTTAAGAACAGAAGATGTATTTTAAAAAGTCTTACATTGTCAACAGGTGACAGATGCCTATGTTGTGGATTAGCAAATGTGATCGACATCACAGTGTAAATAAAATTAGCCATTAAGAAAATATACGAGATAGAAAGAGGCATAAGATCAACTTTTAAAAATAGAAGCGTAAGTGCAATAGGGCCAAACGGGAAATCTGTTAAGGGGTGACACAAGGAAAGGATGGCTAAACTATGGACTGCTACCACTGTAAAATCTGAGAAAGGAAAGCAGGGTGGATAAATGACAGACAGCAAGGCAAACCTCAGGGAATTGACAATAATATTTAAAATAGATAAAAACCTGAAGCAATGCCAAGACAGTCTATTACAGTGGTGCCCCGCAAGACGAATGCCTCGCAAGACGGAAAAACCGCTAGACGAAAGGGTTTTCCGTTTTGAAGTTGCTTCGCAGGACGAATTCCCCTATGGGCTTGCTTCGCAAGACGAAAATACCTTGCGAGTCCTGAGATTTTTTTTTCGCTTTTCCCCCCCTTTATCTAATCTGCTAAGCCTTTAATAGCCTTTAATAGCCTTTTAGCAGCTAATCCCCTAAGCCTTTAATAGCCGCTAAACAGCTGATAGCGCTAATAGCGCTAATCCGTCAATGGGCTTGCTTCGCAAGACGAAAAAACCGCTAGACGAAGACTCTTGCGGAACGGATTAATTTCGTCTTGCGAGGCACCACTGTACAGCCTTTCCTAACCTGTTGCCCTCCAGGTGTTACTGGACTCCAATTCCCATCATCCTTGACCATTGGCGATGCTGGCCAGGGCTGACAGGATCAGAAATCCAACTACAACTGGAGAGCACCAGGTTGAGCATGGCTGGTCTATTCAACAGTTAATGGGTAAGGAACTAAAGGGGAACAAGAGAAAGAGGCAAAGCCACTATCAGGAATAAATTGAGAAGATGCCTCGTTTTAGGAAATGGTGAGTAGACTTATTGTTATTGTTGGGAATGATTGGCATGGGAGAAGCTTGTATGCATTTTTAATAATAATAATAATAATAATAGTAAACAGGTGAATAAATGCTGGTGAGGCAGCCATACTCTTAGGCTGTGTTTGTGTGCAACCATGCAATACATGAATGTATCCAAATTTGCTTATCCCCCTTATCCAATCCCCCCCCACGTGGCTCCTTTCTTTTTGTTTCCCATTACATTCTGGCGGGGTGGGGGGGGCCCTTCCCCTTACCTAAAACCCAAGTAAATAAATCACAAACAGCAGAGGGAAAGCGACAGGGCGGGAAAATCTCACGCAGGAAGGAGGCGAGCGGGGACAGGGGGATGCCGAGGGGTACCAGCCAAGGAGGGTCACAGAGCGCGCGGGCGGGGGTTAGGGAAGGGGCGGGGCAAGTGCAACGAAGGGGCGGGGCTTGCTTCTGTGTTTCCCTCCACCCGCCCCTCCTCCTCCTCCCGAATCCCAAACCCACCCACAGACCCCCGCCAACCTCTTTTAAGTCCCCGTTACCTGCAATTGGCGAGGCCCTCTCCTCCTGGCCCAGTCGATGTGTGTATATATGTAGATATATAAATATATACGACTTTCTGTATATATAAATATATGTGTGAGAGGCCGAGCTTTTCTTTTCCGTACCCCTCCCCGGGCCCAGAGGCGGCGGCGGCGCCTCCTCCTCCGCCCCCTTATCTCGGCCTGCGTCTAGGCCCGTGCTGGGCCATGGCGGCCACCGTCGCCGCCACTAGCCCCCTCAGCCGTTGGGTCTTCTGGGCTCGCGCTGCGGGCGTCAAAATAATAAAACGGGAGGGGGAGGGGGGAGAGCAAGCGAGGCCCGCGCGCCCTTACGCAGGCGCTCTCAGACGGCCGGGGGTGAAGCGGCGGAGGGGAGGGGGGGGTGATCTTAGAGGAGGCGGCGTCGCGGGGCCACTCACGCGCTGGCTGGGCGGCTGGCGCGCGCGCGGGGCCCAGGCGCTCGAACAGCTCTCCTCCTCCTCCCCCCCGCCCTCCTGCCTCCCTCCCTCCACGCCAGCCAGCCAGTCAGCCAGCCTAGCCTAGCCGGGCACTTTGTTTGTGTCCCACAATGCAACGCGGTGGCGGCGGCTGTTGTGAAGCGGGAGGGAGGGAGGGAGGGTTGGCGGAGAGCAGTGGGCGGGGCCACGAGCGGTGGTCGGAGGGGGCGGGGCCAAAACTGGAGGTTGGGGAGGGGGGAGGCAGCGGAGGAAAAACCGTCTGGCGTCGCGTCGGCGCGCGCGGCGACCTGGGGCGCGCGCTCCGTGTTTCGCGCGGCGGGGGCGAGCCGCGAGTACCGGGCCTCCTGAGGTGGAGTCGCTATAAAGCTTATCTTTCGGCATATCCCCTGAGGAATGTTTGCGGTGTAATTATTTTATATATTTATATTTATTTTATTTTTAAGTTTTACCACAGCGCTCCTCGGCTGTGGTAATAGGAGGCTCTTCTCCCTCCCTCTTAAAGCTTCGCCCTGAGGTGATTTCAAATCACTGCGAGCCTAAAATCATTTTTATCTCTGTGGGGAGGGGGGGTAAACTGCATTGGGAACGGCGGGGCCAACTTCAGGGTTTCACGGCGAAGCCCGGGGAGGGAAGCGAGGATGGCAGGTTGACAATCCTAATTCAAAATTTATTTAACAAGGAACTCCCAATACACGTTGGGTAACCCAGAGTAGGCAAGTCTTTAGGAGGGTTGTTGGGGTGGGGATCGTGGTTACAAACCCTCAAATGGTTTGTTTGTTTCATAAGCTTTATTATTTATTATTACTTCATAAAATTTATACACCGCTGGATTGTAGAAAACCCCAAAACTGTTTACGAAAGACAAAACAGTAAAATCAAGAAAAATTGCTACGTTGCTTTAAAGGATACAAAACAATAAAATTACGTACTTAGACTTCCTAAGCATCTGGGTAGGCTTGCCTAAACAGGAATATTTTTAGCAGGCCCCCACACACGAAAAGAGTACGGTGAAGGCGCCTGCTTAATCTCAATATGCAGGGAGTTCCAAAGTGTAGGCCCTCCCATGTTAAACAATAAAGTTCTGCATTTGTAAGATGTTACAAATGTGGAACGGGTATTTATGTGGCACCTATAGTAGCCAATTCTGCTGACTGAAATGGTCAAGTGGGCACATGTAGGGCAAAGCGATCTTCCAGGTAAACTGGTCCCACTGGTTGATTGTAAACGCCCTCAAAGTAGTTTAAAGAAAAGATATAACAATAAAATTGTCACTGAACAATTAACAAAAATAACTTGAAAGTTAAAAAGATAAAATAATAATAGAAAACAAATTAAAACTCATATCATTCTTTATTCTTTATTATTTTTTATTAACCGCCCTTCACCCTAAACATAACATATACCGGTAAATAATAAATATCTGTTTAACTGTGCAATCCTGAGCGTGTCAATTCAGGAGAGGAATTATGTTTGGAAACATGGGGGCGGGGCGAGGATTTTCTAACCACAGTACAAGAATAAATACATAAGATCAAAACCCACCACGAGGGCAACAGATGCATGTAAAACCAAAGCACAACGAAGAAATAATGCTTCATTTTGATGTTAGATTGGCTGCTAAAAATCTGAGATCAGTTGGGTAGATATGATTAACAACAGTGTGAAGAGTTGAAGAATGTAAGCAGACAGATAATGGGTTTGTTGAAACGTAACATACTTCATAATGCATTCAAGTTTTGAAAGGTTCAGGAGCTTGTCCAACCACATAATATTGGGTGCAATTTCAGGAGTTTTTGGAAATGAATTGTGATTTAAAAGACTTCCGGGGTGGCGCCTCCGGAAAATGGCGGAATTCCCTTCGAACTGAAGGGAACCCGCTGCACGGAGGCTTGGGTCCTGCCGCTACGGCGCAGCGGGGACCCTTAAAAACCACAGGCGGAAGAAGCCTGTGGACATGGGACTCGGCGGGCACCGAGAGCGCTCTCCCCTTGTACAGGAGCCCGGTAACGGGCTCCGGAGTGGGAGGTGCGTGGTGCTGTGAGTCGACTGCTTCCTCCGTGCAGCAAAGCCGCACTGCCGTTTTCGGAGAGCGCTGCCTTTTTCCTGGACAATTTGGCATCTAAAACATCTATCCGTGAGTACCTGATCCTGGAAGAGCTGAACTACTTTTAAGATTGGTGAATAAATAAATAACATTGGACTTGAACTTGAAATTGAATTTAATTGGGACTCGGAACGGAAAGGTCTAAACAGGAAGTCGCCTTCCGTTCTTTTGTTACGTGAAGAAAGCAAAGACAAATTATACTAAAGCTTGAAAATTAAATTCTGAGAGAACTAAAATTCAACATCTAAGATTTCTGAACCCCCCTTTGACTGCAGGAGAAGAAGGGGGCTGTTTTGGTTTTTTCAACCCTGCGGAAGTGAGTTTAAAATAAAGTAATTTTCCACCTCCCTGAACCAGGAGCGGGCTGTCAGAACTGACGTTTTGAAGCTTATCCAGCTCGACAGATAGTTAAAAGAAGGGTAACATTTTGATTCTACTGTTGCCTCTTGAATTTGGAAGGGGGAATTTTAGATAAAGTGTTTCTGGAAAAAGAAAGATTGTTGCTGTTGTTTTTCCCCCTTTTAAAAAAATAAAAAAAAAGGGTTTTCCATCTAGTGGAACTGAGTGAAATTGCAATGCAGAGAGTTTAAAAGAGAAGGATTATTCTCGTGGGAAAGAATTTTCTTTGACCTTGAAGGACAATGCTTGTACAAAGGCTTGAACAAGTGTTCCTGGAAGGTTTTGCAAAATTAAGTGCCCAGCTGGACCAGATGCGTCAGGAGCCGACCTTGATGATGGAAGTTACCAGAGCACAGCAGCAAACAAATGAAATTCAGTTAAAGTCTATACAAGTATATGAACCTGCTGTAGCGACGGAGACTTCAGAGATGGAGGGACCTTTGGATGGGCAAGATCAGCCTTTGAACTTGATAAATGAACTTGGGACAAACCTGATTCGGAAAGATGAAATGTGGCCAGATTTGGAAATGGGGGGATGGATTGACACCCCTCTATATGGTTATTTGGACTTTCCGAGTCTAGTGATGGGCCATCAGAGGATTGGAGTAGTCGAAGTCTCCAAGCTTTGTGGAAATTGGAAGTGGTATTATCTGCTGTCTGGCTTGGGTAATGGGTTTGGGATGGACTTGCTGCAAAGAGTCAAAAGCATTTTTTTTGCTGGAGTATCCACGACTGAAAGGGAAATATCAACAAGAGTGGCGAAAGGGGCAAGAAAGAGACTTGAGGGCCTCGGATACGAGACAACCAGGTTAAGGAGCCGGATTATTGAGGTTAAAAGGACTGACAATCCCGGGTCCAGGGGAGGGAGGCTGGAAGCTGACTGGACTGAATCTGACTTATTATTTTTCTTTCTTATTTTTTAATATTGGGAATGTTTATAAATGTCTGAAGGATGTTGAATGAAATTATATGGCTTAAGTAAGGATTGGTAAAGGATTTGTTAAAAGGTAATGATGTAAGAATTTGCTAAATATTGAATATAAGCTTTGAGTTTTAAAGTTTTTATATGACAAGAGGGAAAATAGAATAAGGAAACGTAATGATAGATTGTTATGAAAAAACAGAAAGGATTTGCTGTAAAAATTAAATACTAAGAAACAAGAGGGGAGGAGGAGGAAGTCTAGAAAGGAAGTTAATGGAGATCGTAAAGGATTTTATATTTCTGTTTTTCTGTTTTTCTTTTTTTCTTTTCTGCGGCTGGGTTTTTTCTTCTTTATTATTTGTATTATTTTTGTTTTTTTCTGTATTTTCAAACTTTTTTGGAAATTTTTGTTGTTACTCTTTGAAAACTTAATAAATATCAATTATTAAAAAAAAATGAATTGTGATTTAAAAGAAGAAAGAATTTGTGTCAGTTTGTGATGGAGAGATGAATTATGTTCAGCTCCATTTTCTTTATGAATTCTAAAGGTTTTTATATACATTTATTTATCTCTTCACACATGTATCTGCTGACATAGCCCCTGATCCACAAATGCTTATGCCATAATAAATACATTGGTTTCCAAGATTTGGCAAGACTTTTGGCTGTTTTTGTTGTAAAGGCTAATCTGGCCATGCCTCTGGAGAAAAAATATATAACTGGAGAAAAAATATATAACTGGAGAAAAAATATATAACGCATGCCAGTAACATAATTGTACAAGTATAACACCAGTGCAGAATAAAACCTCAAAGCAATACTACAGTATATACTTATAAAAAACTTACAATAAATCAATTAAATAGCAATTCAGTTTAGTGATAGCAATTAAATTAAATAAAGTAACAAGAGTCATTAACTCTTTAGGAAACAGAACGGCACAGCTTCTGCCCATTTCAAGATGTCCAAGTGTTTAAAGCCATCTAAACTGGTTGCCAGCACCACATCTTTTAGCTGTGCATTATACAAACATTACAGGTCTGTTTTGAAGGGAGAGGAAAGTAAATTAATGACTTACCAATATTTTTTTTCTGACTTCTTTTTCTTTGAGAGGGTTCCTGGCCTTTTAATTCTCTTGGTTTCATTAACTCTTTCTGTAAGTATTATGCCTTATAAAGTTCACTTGCCACAATTCCTAACTTGCCTGGCCAGTGTTTTCTAACATTCAAAAGAGGCAGTCACATACTTCCAGAAGTTCCTTGTCCTGCTAGTGGTCAACTGCTCTTTGTCAAATCCCATCATAAACCAGCTCCCCATTATGACCAACTGCCTCAGAACCATTGGACATGTCCATTCTGTCCACAGTTGTCAAAGCAGAACATTCCAGTTGTGAACGCACGTGCTTCGCCACATTCCTTATGAACACATTTTTTTTTATTCACAATCTGAATAAAATCTGATTATAGAACGGTCGTGCAAGTAATGTTGTTGAATGGCTCTTCTCTGAAAAATGATCTCCCTTGACCAGTCTTCCCTCTCACCACCACAACATGGTAGTCTACACAATAAGCGATTGTGGTTAAAGTGACAGAAGCAAAGAGCAGGAGGAACTAAAATCTTCCATGACGGAGGAAGTACAAGGTGTATATAAAAGTGTACTTGTCGAACAAGGAACAGATTTAGTAATATACACGAGTGTCTGTGGCTATTAATTTACATAATGATATTTAGTTAGATTCTGGCAAGCAAAATCTATTTTTAGTTTCCCTCATAGGACATTTTTAGAGCTTCATTTGTGTAAGTCCCAATGCCTTTTCTGGTTTCCATCCCAAATATACCAATGCACAACTTTCCTGATACATCTGCTCTTGTGTCCAATTTGTACCAGTTTCAAATGTAGTTTCCCTTGGTGTGGGAGAAGATTGTAAATCTAAAAGTGTACGTAAAGGTAAAGGGACCCCTGACCATGAGGTCCAGTCGTGACCGACTCGGGGGTTGCGGCGCTCATCTCGCTTTATTGGCCAAGGGAGCCGGCGTACAGCTTCCGGGTCATGTGGCCAGCATGACTAAACCGCTTCTGGCGAACCAGAGCAGCGCATGGAAACGCTGTTTACCTTCCCGCCAGAGCGGTACTTATTTATCTACTTGCACTTTGACGTGCTTTCGAACTGCTAGGTTGGCAGGAGCAGGGACCGAGCAATGGGAGCTCACCCCGTCGTGGGGATTCGAACCGCCGACCTTCTGATTGGCAAGTCCTCGGCTCTGTGGTTTAGCACACAGCGCCACCCGCGTCCCTAAGAAAAGTGTACATATAGAGCAGTAAATCCCATTGAAATTTAAGTCACTGGGATTTAGGTCTGGTATGTGATCACCTTGTGTGCTTTCCTTTATGTTGAAAGAAGTTCATGTCTTTATTCAGTGTTATTTTTCTAGAAAAAGAGGGTCCGGAGCTCACCATGAATGCCTCCCTTTTTCTTTTATAAAGGCAATGGCGCCCCCTGAGAGGTATAGGAACTGAGTTCCGACTGGGAAAAAAAGCCCTGTCTTTATTTATTTAGGGCATTTGTACCCCACAGTTCAATCCCAAAGGCTTACAGAAAGGTTTTGTATAATCAGTTAAAGCAAGACAGTCTTTAACTGCAGATTTACAATCTAAAAGACAGTTTGGAATAGGGGTACGACTTACGCTTCCCTTCCCATTTCCCCTTTTTGAGACTTACCTCAACCTAGGTTGCCTTTGGCTGAGCTAGGATGTAGCACTTAAGCTAGTGCAGTCCTACCTGAACCCAGGCTCAGCTTGTTCCAACCTCCTCTCATCCTGATGGTTCTTGGTTTTGGATTGCACCCTAAGATAGCTACAAGCTGGTCTTGTTTTAAATGAAATATTCAGAAATTTTGCTTAGCTTCCCCATGTCCATACTGAGAAGATGATGTCATGGCCGGCTTGATGACCCACGTGTTATGCCTCTGCTACCAAGCCAGATCATCACTTAGGAAGTCTCTAGTTCATTTTTTGCTAGGAATGGCAAGAGAGATTTATTAAAGAGCCAACTCTTCAAAAATTCAATTTCTGTAAAAATCTTAACCAAGTAAAAGAGGCATAGGAGTAAAAATGTGGAGAATTCATGTGCTAGCCTGCCTAAGGATGTTTACCCATAAAAAATTCCACTGAGTTCAGTAGGATTTATTCCTAGTATTTTATGGTCAGGATTGTAGCCTTAATTTATTCTTTAAAGCTCAATTTATTCTTTAAAGCTATGTGTTCATGACAGTTTATGTAATCAATAAAAATAATTAAACTAATACTAATTTTACAGCAGATTAAATTACTGCAGCAAAAATATTAAAAGCTGAAGTCAAACAGTCAAAAGCCAAGTTAGCAACCCCAAGATCATGTCTTTAAAATAAGCTAGCCCTATGGTCCAGTAGTGGAAAACCTCCTAGCAAATCTCTGAATTTGGCCTGCAAGGCCATTTTGGGCCAACAACACCCACCTGTCTAACATCTAACATCATATGGAATCAGATCAAGGTTAGTTATTTTCAGTCTAAGCACTAAGATAAGTATCTTTTTATCTATACTCTACATGCTAAGCACCATAGTGCTAAGATCAAATATAAGCTCCCTAATTTTGGTGCCAAAGCTGTGAAGGTGCTGCTGTTTACTGCACATGTTCCAGCTTCCCATAATGAAGGAATATATAGCAGAACTATAATAGGTTTTTGAGGGAGGGAGTTCATATGGGCACAGGTGGTCTCCAAGGTATGTTGGTCCTAGGCCATAAAGGTCAAAGCCAGCATCTTCCCCATTTCAAATCTGCCTCTCCTAGATGGGAGATGTTTTAGTTTTAAGGGACATGTTCCACTCTTTCAGGAAGCTGATTTTGTTTCTGTATGCACATGTGTGTTAGGCCGGCAGCTGGATTAACTCAGCCCATGGTGACAGCTCTTTGAATGATGCCAAGTCGATTTCACTGGCCCATTGATTCAGTGCCGTTGAGAAGGATCTGCCAGTTCTGTGAACTGCCCCACTCATTTCTGTTACATTTCTCAACTTGCATTCCCAGTTCTGTTTTCTCATCCAGTACTGTTTCATTTGCTGAGATTTTGGCAGCTGCTTCGGAGTGAAGTCAATAGTTGACTATGTATGTGGATTCCATTCTGCACAGATTCGGCAGAAAGAGGCAGTTGACATTGTAGTGTTTGTTCTATGTAGTCATTTATGTGTCCCGTTTCCTCGTAGACAGATGTACCTAAAGCTCCTTTAGGGAGAGCCAATTCACATGACTAGTGTATGAGAACATCCACTTTGCAACAGGGATCCATGGTTGCTTTGACTTAGAAAAAAATCACTGGGTAGATTGGAGAACAGCGTAGCAGAGTAATCAAGCAACCACTTCAGCTGGAACGTAAGATAATTCTTATTGTCAAGTGAGGATAAAAACAGATGCAAGATTTTAAAAGCAGCCACAACAGGTTCTGTGTCAGCTGCATGATCCTCTTTTGCAACATGAATTCATGTAGATGTGGGGCTTATGAGGGGTGGGGGTTATATTGAGATGGGGCTTCTAGTGCTCAGGCTCTGATGCTTGTCTCCTTCACAGCTGTTGCTCTCTTTCCACCATAGGTTTGGAAGACTGAGTTCCATATCTACCAAATTTTGTGTGGCTCTAGCTTTAGAGCTTGCTCCCTAGCCCTCTTGGTATGAAGACACTGCTTAAGCTCCTGCTCTCTTTCCCTGGTTGCTGCCTTGGATCCCGACCACTCCTGTCTGAGTGGGATGATACTCCTGATCTTTGTGATGCTCCGTTGTTGCCACGGAACTCAACCCTTACCTGTTTTTGACTATGCATCTTTTACTGGCCCACTTGGGTTGACAGCCAGTTCTCTCCTTCCCAAGTCCTGGAACCCAGCTGCCTGGGTCTGACCCTTGCCGAAGCCTGTTAATTCCAGATATATATTTCAAGTTAAACATCAGATCAGCTGTCAGACCCACCATTTCCCTAAAGGTTGGTGCCAAGGGTTGACATGAGTGACATCTGCAAGAGGGCCTACATCAGAGCAGGGCCCCCACTAGAAATAACTCCCATGGACCTGTTACATTCACCAGATGGACTATCCGTCTGTTACAATAATTTTTGAACAACTGAAATGTATCAAGGCCTTTGAGCCTAGGACTTGCTTGATCAGAAGGTTGGCGGTTCGAATCCCTGCAACGGGGTGAGCTCCCATTGCTCGGTCCCTGCTCCTGCCAACCTAGCAGTTCGAAAGCACGTCAAAGTGCAAATAGATAAATAGGTACCGCTCCGGCGGCAAGATAAATGGCGCTTCCATGCGCTGCTCTGGTTCGCCAGAAGCGGTTTAGTCATGCTGGCCACATGACCCGGAAGCTGTATGCCGGCTCCCCCGGCCAATAAAGCGAGATGAGCACCGCAACCCCAGAGTTGGCCACGACTGGACCTAATGGTCAGGGGTCCCTTTACCTTTACCTTTACTCCCTGGTACAGAGTACTGACCCTCTTTTCTTTTTTTGCTGCCCATGGTAGCCATTTTGTGCTGGCACCCACAGCACTTTCTATTGAGATGTGAGTGCTAGCACATATACATACACACACCAAAAAGCACTGGATATATCTATTCAATTATATGGGCATCATTCACTCCCCCATCACAATCATAAACTTCAAAAAACAACCACCACCCCATTGGGCAAAACTTCCATTGTGTTTTTGAACTCTTGGAAACTCGCCAACGGTCACCCTCCACAGGTAACATTTATCTAATTCAAACACTGTTGGCAAGCAAATTTGCAAAAACGTTTTTCAGATTTTGCCTGGATTGAAAATTGTACATTTGAACACAGCTGTTGTGTGTGCAATTCCCCCTGCCCCAATCATCCATGCTGCTGTAATATGTAATCTCTGTCTTCAGCCTACACTAACCCAGAGTTTGGTCTGAAAATCTAACATTTGCATTTCTCCTGTCTGCATCCCATCCTCTTGCATGGTTTCTTCTGTTAAGGCAGATTGGAACGATGGGGATGCAAAGAATTTACATCCTCCTTACTATACTTTTGATCTGTCCTATGAAAAGCTATTAGGTTTTTGTTGGGTATTTTTATTTTAATCTTTTCAGTTTTATCTCTTGTTCTTAGTGACACTTGAATGGCACACCTGTTCCCCAAATCCTGGCTGAAGTCTCTGCTTGCCTCATTAGGTTGCTCACATACAATAGATCATTTTTGGTTTGAAACTTAGGAAAGAAAATGGCTAATGAGGCATACTCCATGGTGCTCTTTTCTCTGCGTATTATACATCACTGTGTGGTACTTGAAGGGAAGAGTTGTATAACCCTTGCCCAGTAATTGCAAGAAAACACTGCAGCTGCACTGCATATGTTCCAGCTGAGCTTGTCATCTTTGCATCCAAGAGCTTTTAATTGTGAGGCCCCTTGATGTAAGCCTCCCCTTATTCCCTCTTAAAACCCATCACAGCGGAA